AAGGTTAAACCTCAGTCTCATGGGACTGTCCCACTTCAGATGCCACTTGCAAGTCCCAGTTTGTCACCTGAATTTTTGACCCAAGTGATCCTACAGTTCACATGTCAGGGTTGATAATTTGCTAGAATAACTCTTAGAAATCAGGAACGTGTTTCATTTACTATTTCTGACTTATTATAAAGAATATTACACAGGAACAAATGGTTGAGATACATAGATATGAAGGAAGGGGCATAGAGCTTCCATGCCCTCTTTGGGTATCACCTTCCTAACACATTAATGTTTTCACCAGTTAAGAACTTCTGAATCTCTTTGGTTAATAATTTATAACCCAGTCTTCAGGATCTTCCTATCCCAGAGGTACAGGGGAGAGGTGAGGCTTAAAGTCAAATGTTTGGTCTTTCTAATAACTGGTCCCTTCTTTATACTGTGAATCCCCTGTCCCCATATTAGCATAAACTTAGGTGTGGTGGAAAAAGGATTCTGAAAGCATAAAAGGCATTCCTGTCACTCAGGACACTCCCAGAATTTTACACCTTTTGTGACAGAAACCCATGAGAAAGATCAATTTTTTAAAATCACATTTGCCTACTTTATTAGCCTTCCACTGCTGGGGCACTATACCACACTCCACAATTTGAAGGAGAAGTTTAATTTTGCTCATGATTACAGATGAATCAGTCCATGGTCACCTGGCTCTAAGAAACATTGTGGAAAGACCCCCCTACAGTATTTATTTAACACAATCAAACTAATACATCATTTTGTTCTATATTAGAATCCTAACCAATGCTCCCTCCATGAAACACTGGTATCTAGGAAGTGTTAATAATTTTTTTTTTTTTGGTACCCGGGATCGAACTTGGGACCTTGTGCTTGTGAGGCAGGCAGCGGAACCACTAAACTAAATCCCTGGCCCCAATTAATAAATTTTTTTAAAAAAGATTCTTTACATAATAAATGTGGGGAATAACCTATAATACATTCCCCTCTTAAACACTAGCAAGGCATTTTCTTGTATTAAACAATTTCTAAGTAATTTGGAGCTAAGTGGATAATCATGGTCTTATATATTTTTCCTTGTGCTGTGATTTTTACCAAGTTTTGCACATGAGTATATCGGTATGCCTTTTCTCTTGTTAAATCTTTGTGACTTTATTTAGTGAGCCATCAGAGGATACAGCGGATATTTGCCTTCTCTAAACTATGGTTTCCAGTTTTTCTACTTAAGCTACATATAGAATGCATCCATAGTAAATCATGAACACTAAAGGCTTGTCAATATAATGAAATTGAAAAACATGGTAAACGAGAGAAAATAGATGTCTTATACAGAATATAAGATACAGGAGCTCTGGCATCTTATTTTAGCTTATATTCAGAAAACCTTGTAGTTGATTTGATTTTATCAAGAATAAAACTCTAGTAACTATTAAATAAGTATAACTATGATACTGTATGATAGTTATGATTTATAATTTATTTTAATAAAGATAAATACTGACTTCCTTGTTTTGTTGTAGAGAAATTCATATATCATCAGCTATTTTGAAGTGAATAGTCATTAGCTTTTAGTACATTCACAATGGAGGGCTAGCTATGACTGCTTTTTGTTCTTACAGATTTACCTATTCTGAATATGGTATTTCATATAAATACTGTGTAGTCATAATTTGTGATCTTTCATATCTGATCTCTTGTACTTTGCATAATGTGTTTGAGGTTCATCCATATTGTATGTTTTGTTTGGCTAGCTCAGTAGTATTCCATTGTGTATATATACTACAGATTGTTCATCTGTCCATCTAGATTCATGGCCTTTCAGCTTGTTTCAATGTGAATAGTGCTATAAATATTTATGTACACATATTTAAGCTCCTGTTTCAATATTTTTAAAGTTTATTTTTACTGATACATAAAAATTGTGCATATTAATGAAGTACTATGTGATGATTTCAATACATTGTGTGCTAGGTAACATTCAAATAAAGTTGAATATATCTGCCTCCTCAAACATATCATTTCTTTAGGTGAAAACTTTCCTGTTAGTTTTTTGAAACATACAGTAAATTATTCTTATCTATAGTCAACTTAATGTTCATAGCACACAGTAACTTCTTGTGCCTATATAACTGTAACTTAGTAGGCATTAATCAACCTTTTCCCACCTCTTGTCACATTCTCAATCTCCATGAGGAACAAAATTTTTGTATTCCAGGGCCAGGGATTTAGCTCAATGGTGTCATGCCTGCCTCACAAGTGCAAGGTCCTGAGTTCGATCCCTGGTACCAGAAAAAAAAAGTTTAGATTCCAGAAAAGGGAGATCATGTGGTACTTGACTTTCTGTGCCTGGTTTCTTTCACTTTTACTCTAATTCTTTCCATGTTGTTCCAAATGACAGAATTCCATTCTTTTATATGGGTGAATAGTATTTCATTGTGTGCATATCACATTTTTTAAAATCCATTCATCATTTGATAGACACTTAGATTGTTTTATTTTCATGGCTGTTGTGAATAGTGCTACAGTAAACTTGGAAATGCATATGTCTCTTTGGCATACTGATTTTGTTTCCTTTGACTATATACTCAGAGTCCTAGTTCATACATTAATTCTATTTTTAATTTTTTTGCAGAACTTCTATACTGTTTTCCACACTATCTGTACTAATTTACATTCCTGCTAGTAATATATAAGGCTTCCATTTTCTCTACATGTTCACCAGTAGTTATGTCTAGTCTTACCGATAATAACCACTCTTATTGGGGTGAACTGATATCTCATTCCAGATTAAATTTGCATTTCCCTGCTAATAATTACTGACGTTGAGCATTTTTTTCACATACCTGTTGGCCATTTGTATATGTTTTTGAGGTGTTTTTTTAGGTCTATTCCCTATTTTTTATTTATATTTACTTTTGCTATTGAGTTTTTGGAGTTCCTTATATATTCTGGATATCAGTTCCCTGTCAGATACATAATTTATAAATATTTTTTTCTTCTATTGGTTTTCTCTTCATTCTGTTGTTGTTTCTTTTGCTGTGCAGAAGATTTTTAGTTTAATCCCATTTGTTTGTATTGGATTTTGTTTCATGTGTTTCAGTTCCTTTGGATAAATATCTAGGAATAGAGTGGCTGCGTCATATGGTAATTTTGTTTAACTTGTTTTTATGGTGCTGGGAAAGTAAGCCAGGTCTCATGTATGCAAGGCAAATGCTTTAACACTGTTGTATATCTCCAACCCTATGTTTAACTGTTCAAAGGATCAACAAACTGTTACCTAACAATGTACAAGGGATCCAGTCTTCACACATTCATCAGCAGTTGTTCTTTCTCTTTTTTATTATTGCTGTTCTAGTGGATGTAAAGTGGTATGTCATAATGACTAATTATGTTTATATTTTTAAAAATATGTTTATCAATTCTTATCTTCCTTGGAGAAATGTCTTCTCAAGCTCTTTGCCCCTTTGAAAGTTGGTTGTCTTTTGTTCTTGAGTTATAGTTGTTTACATATTCTGTGTATCAGGCTTTTATCAGATATATGTCTTGTATGTATTTTCTCACAGTTGTAGGTTGTCTTTTCACTTGATGATGTCCTTTGCTGCCCAAATGTTTTAATCTTTTTTTTTGTTTTTTGTACCAGGGATTGAACTCTGGTCCTTGCACTTGCTCAGCAGGCGGCTAAACCACAGAGCTAAATCCCCGGCCCTAAATGTTTTAATTTTTATGAAATCCAGTTTATGCATTTTATGTCTTTTGTTCCTTGTGCTTTCATTGTTCTAAGAATACATTGCAAAGTCCCAGATCACAACCATTTACTCTTTTATTCTTCTAAGAATTTTACAATGTCAGCTCCTTTATTTGACATATCTGAGGTATTTTCCATGAGAAAATCTAATTATTCCAGTGCCATTTGGTGAAGAGATTTGTCTTTCTATTGTTGTTGTTTCTAATCTCCCTTTTTATTAAAAAAATACTCTGGTGAAGCAATTAAGATTACTAATTCAAGAGACAGAATGCTTGAGTCCAAATCTGCTGTTATTGCTTGCTACCAACGTAACATAGGCAAATTTCTTAACTTTCCTACAACTCAATTTTGTTATATATAAAATAATAGAAGTAACTTTATAGAATTATTATAAACATCAAATTATGTCATATATATAAAGCACTTAGCAAGATTCCTGTCAAAAAGTGATGAGTGTTAGCAAAAATTAAGGTTGATATTTGTCATTTTTAAAGATATCTCTGTATAGTGACAACTAACTAAAATTACATCTCTCAAGCCTAGGATAATATTTTCATTTTTCAAAAGGTAGCAATAAAGAATCTAAATGAATTAAGATAAATTACAGAAACATTATGTTTGAGCAGATACTTACAGTATATCAGGGTGTTTTTAATGTTATATACTCCTTAGAATAATTCCTATTTAATGAGTAACAAACATTAACTAATTTGTTAAAAATATAATTGTGTAATAATCAAGCAGCAGAGATCCAATTTAAATCCATACCTACCTTATTGGTGGGTCTGTTTTTGTCCATTATGACTTACTGTAGGAAAAAAATATTTAATAAAATATATGACCTTCCTTCTTTTCTCCAATTCATGTATTACTGGAGTAAGGAGAGGTGAAAAGTGTGTGCGCGCGCGTGTGTGTGTGTGAGATATATGTCATGTAAAATTGTATGCTAATGAATTCTCTGAGGAAATATTTTATTGTGATGTGTAATATATGTTTCTGGTTAAACTTCAACTGTGGCATATTTGTACTTCTCTTTTCTCAATTCTTTATATTGAATTGTCAATTCAGTTCTCTCAATATTTATAATTCGTGTTTTAATATGTGACTTTTTAGTATATTAAATTGAATGAAAAATATTTTAATATATTAATCAAGTTTTCTTTTTTGTTGTGGTCTCTTAGTTCAGTGTTTTAAATGGGGTGAAAGAATATTTCACATCCATAAATATAAGTTTCTTTTGTGATTCTCTTAGATGTAATAAAGGAACAGAATCGAGAGTTACGAGGTACACAGAGGGCCATAATCAGAGATCGAGCAGCTTTAGAGAAACAAGAAAAACAGCTGGTGAGTGGAACATTAAATTTCAATTTAACTTTTCAAATTTGGAAATTACAGTTGGAATAATTAGCTAACTAGGAAAATGATGCATGACAGGTGATGAGTGAATTAAATAAGACATGGCATATAATGCTTTTCTGAGTTTTCTTTTTTTTTTTTTTTGGTACCAGAGATCGAACTCAGGACCTTGCACTTGCGAGGCAGGCGCCGGAACCACTGAGCTAAATCCCTGGCCCTTGAGTTTTCTACTTACCTTTATTGTCTCGTTATGCTGACTTTTATCAGAATTCTGTATATTTTGCTGATTAATTGAATTATTCCTGATTTTGAAAATCATCAATGTCTAGGAAGAAGTATTTCTTAAAATTACCTCCTTATTACTAACAAACATAAAATAGTCATGGAAGCCAAGAGAGGGCTATAAAAAGAATTAAAGGTATCTTAGGGTATCATAGGTTTCTTACTTGATATTTGAAAGATGTGTCTATGACAATGAGCTTGTTTTAATAGGCTGGTCTGGTTCATCTTAAATATTCTTTAAGCTATTTTTAAAATTTATGCTGCTTCAGATCTTTTTAAGAGCAGAATTACTTTTTTTCTTCTTAAATTCTTTTATTGGTACATTTTAGATATACAATACATTTACATTCATCATTGGGAACTTGTATCTTTACATGATGTATCTTGGTTCTTATCTTTTCCCCATTTCCCTGTCCTCCCTTCAACCCCTCCACCCCTATTTACAAAGTAAAAGCAGAATTATTGAGGTGTAACTGACTCGCAATAAATTACACATATTGAAGTATACAAATGAATACTTGAAATCTACTGTAGTAAGGTAATGAACATTGTCATCATCTCCAAAAGTTTTCTTATGCCTTTTGAAATCCTTCCTACCATCCCTCCCTATCACCTCTTTTTTCAGTGAGTCAAATACTGATTTGTCATTGTAGATGAATTTACTTTGTTAGAATTTCATGAAAATGGAATTGTGCTAGTGAGCTTTTCATTGCTGGGACAAAATACCTAATATATACAACTTAAAGAAGAAAAAGTTTATTTTGACTCAGTTTCGGTTCATTGTCAACCAACACAAAGTCAGAAACATGGTAGAAAAGCAGTAGTGGAGGAAACCTGCTCACCTCATGGCAGCTATGGAACTCATTTCTGAGAAAGGGAAAAGAATCTGAGACAAGATATACTCTAAAAGACATACCCTCTTTAATCTACTGTCTCCTACTAGGTTCCATCTAATAACCCATCTGCTATGAACTCACCAGTGGATTAATCGATAAAGTCAGTGCCTTCATGACCCAATTCTCTCTCTAGGCCCCATCTCTGAAAATTACTGTATTGATGATCAAACCCTCAATTTATGAGTCATTGGAGGACCCTTCAAATTTAGACCATTACAGAAATCCAATATGAACTCTTCCTTACTTAACTTCTTTTAGCATAATTATTTTGAGGTTACTCAATACTGTTGCGTCAGTATTAATTTTTATTTATGAATGTTATTTTGTTCTGTGCCTGTTCACAATTTATCCATTTTTTGACCAGAGGACATTTGAGTTCTGAGTTTTGGTTTTTTTGAAAAAAAAGATTTATATATACATTCAAATGAAGTTTTCATGCAAACACATTTTGATTTCTTTTGTGTACAATCAGAGTGAGATTACTTGGTCATAAGGTACGTCTGTATTTAATCATATAAGCAAGTGCTAAACAATTTTTTAAATGTTTTCTTTTTCTAGTAGCAATGCATGACAATTATAGTTTTTCTACATACTTGGAGTTTACTAATTGTAGTCATTCCATTGGGTGCTTAGTAGATTTTCATTTTAAATTACATTTTCCAAATCACTAATGATATTGAGCATCTTTCGTGTAACTATTTTCCACTTACATGTCTTCTTTGTCAAAGTGTATCTTTAAATATTTTATGTATATTTTTCATCAACTTGTTTTATTTTATATATTGTGGAAATAAGTGCTTTATTAAGTACTGATATATGTTTTACAAATATTCTTTCCAAGTTCTTGGCTTTGTCTTTTATTTTTCTAAGTAATTTTTGAGGAGGGAGTTTTTTTGTTTTGTTCATTGAATTTTTAAAATTTTTATGTAGTATAAGTTTATTAGTATATTTTCTTCTGTGGCTGATACTTTTAGTGCTCTCAGAAATCTTAGCGTAACCCAAAGTCACTAATACTTTCTGTTTTCTTTTAGAGCTAGTATACTTTTAGTTCTTAAATTTAAAACTGTGAGTCATATTGAATTTTTACCATGGTATCAAATCAGGGAACAACTTCAGTTTCCACATATGGAAATTAAGTTGCTCCAACATAATTTGTTGTTGATACCTTCTCCTTCTCATTTTTGTAGAAAATCAGTTGTCTAGTGTGTATGGGCATATTTTCTGGGCTCTATACTATTTCATTAATCTATTTGACTTCTTTCTTTTTCTGGTACTGGGGATTGAATTCAGGACCTTGCACTTGAAAGGCAAGAGGCTTCACTGAGCTAAATTCCTGGACCTATTTGACTTATACTTAAGCTAATACCAAACTGCTTTTTTAAATTTTTACTTGATAGTAAAACTTAAAGGTAAAAAATTTTAATCATTCAATTGTGTACTTTTTTCCCCCATAAGTGTTTAGGCTGTTTTAGGTTCTTCACATTTTGTATGCACTTTAGAATAAGCCTGTCAGCTTCTAGTAAAAGGATTAGATTTTTGATTTAGATTACATTAAATATGTACATCCTTTGGGAAGAATTTACATCTTAACAGTAAGAAGTCTTCCAATCTATGAACATCTTATGTATTTACCCATTTACCTAGATCTTATTTGATTTTTCTTAGCCATGCTTTGTTCTTATAAATATGTAAGTTTTGTGCTTCCTTTGTCATATTTACCCTAAATATTTAATAATTTTTATTCGATATGTCCTTTTAAGAAGAAATTTGATTTGTGAGTTTTTTGGCTAATGTATATAGAGATACCTAAAGTTTTGTATGTTCATCTTGAATCTTGTAACCTTCCTAAACTCATTACTCTTCTAGCCTTTTTGTAGATTGCTTGGGATTTCTACATAATCATGTCATCATGAATAAATAAATCTTTACATCTTTATAATTTGCAACTTTTTTTTCTTAACTTTTAAAAATTATCTAGCACTTCCTATACCAGTGATGGAGAACCTTTTAGAGACTGAGTGCCCAAACTGCCACCCAGGAACCCACTTATTTATCGCAAAGTGCCAACACTGTGCTGTTACCCAGTGCTCTACTGGTGGGACAATGCTGGGGTGACTTGGCTCACTTGCTAACAGAGAGGGCTCTGTATGCCTGCTGCAACACACGTGCTTTTTCTTTCTTTTCCATGTAGAATAAACAGTCTTCAGTTACTCTTTATGACTTTATAGTAGTCTGTTTTAAAGAGAAAATATGTATTTCATTTATATGTTAGATCTGTTCTTCTGAAATCATTGAAGACTTTCAGTAATTTTATTCCTCTCTTAGGAATTAGAAATTAAGAAAATGGCCAAGATTGGTAATAAAGAAGCTTGTAGGGTTTTAGCCAAACAGCTTGTACATCTGCGAAAACAGAAAACAAGAACTTTTGCAGTAAGTTCAAAAGTGACTTCTATGTCTACACAAACAAAGGTGATGAATTCTCAGATGAAGATGGCTGGAGCAATGTCTACCACAGCAAAGGTAAGTGAGGGCCTTTTTATGTGGTTTTATTATGTTACGAAAGATACTTAACTATAAATGAATCAGATTTAAAAGTGCCTTCTGGTAAATATGTGGTACAGAATCTTAATTTTTAGTAAAATGAGTTTTAATACCAGATAACCCAGGTAAGTGTGCCTAGATTCTTTATTGATATGTTTTAATATAGAAGAATATTTCTATTTTCCCAAGATCACACATCACATCTGAGTTTACAAAATTGACTTAAAACTGTTTACTTTTTCTATAAATTGTCACATGATTTTTAGACTTATTTTATGAAGTTATATCTGATTATTACGGGTGATAATTTTAATTAATGTGTTTGTATATATGTGTCAGGACATAAATATTTTCAGAAGCATGCAATATTTTTAGGAGCTTACATTTAACTTAGTGTCTCTTTCTCTCTCTTGTGTTTTTACCATAGAATTTAGAGTAATCTGTGCCTTTCAATCAATAAATAATGAATTCCTTGATGTAGATCATGTATTTTGGTCAAAAGGGTTTAAAATAAAGGCCCTGCCTCTACACATTTTTATTTTTTATTATTTTTGGTACCAGGGATCGAACTCAGGACCCTGCGCTTGCCAGGATGGTGCAGCACCACTGAGCTATATTCCTGGCCCTCCTCCAAGTATTTTTACAAGTCAATTTGGGAGGGTTGCTTAAGATAAATCTGAATGAGTAATTGCTATACATCAGTCTGTGCTACGCTTGGTTGAACTACACAGATCTTTGAATAGGTGATCGAGAAAACTTTGTAGACTTTGGTCTTCACAATATCACTAAGCATTAAATGTAGGAAAGAGAGAATGTGAATAAAAGCAAAAGGGAAAAATTTCATAGAGAAAAGTATTTGAAAAATAGTTGTCTTATTAACTTTCTCATCATGAAGTTTTAATACCTGACATCCACAATTTAAAGGAGAGATTTGTTTTTAGTTCACAGTTTCAGAAGTTACAGTTCATGGTTTGTAGGCTTTAAGGCAAAAATAACATGGAAGAGCCTGGGTGGAAGAAGCTATTCATGCCCTACCTCCTAATAGGAAGTTAGCTATAAACTCATCACTTACATGGTGCTTTTAAGGGGGCCCACCAGATCCAAATATTCCATCCCTAGGCCCCAAAAGACTAATGTCAATCTCATTATGCAAAATGCATTTAGTCTGTCCCTGTGTGCCATCAAAATCTTAAAGAGTTAAGCATTATTGAAAAGTCCAAGTCTAAGATCTCCTGTGAGACTCAAGGCAAACTCTTAGCTCTGAGCCTGTGTAAAATTTAAAAAGAAGGTAAGCCTGGTGGTAAACACCTATAATCCCAATACTCAAAAGGCTAAAGCAGGAGGATCACCATGAGTTTGAGGCCACTCTGGCCTACATAGTAAGTTCAAGGCCAACTTGGAATGCTTTCTCAAAAATATAAAAAATTAAAAAGAAATCAAAATGAAAGTTAAATATTGCCCCTATAGAATGACACAGTAACATTCCTATTGTAAAAGGGAGAAATAGGGTGATAGAAAGCAATGGTACCAAAGTAAGGCTAAAACTCACCAGGGAAAACGTTAAATCCTATAGCTCTGTGTCCAGCACCTGGAGCAAGTTGTGATAAGATGTGAATTCCAGAGGGATCAGGAAGCCACAGCCCTGTGGCATAGCTGCTTGCAGCCCTCATAGCCTCTTTCTTGGGCCAGCTTCACTCATTTCCTGTTGCCTTCCTCAGCAGATATCTCACCTTTGTCGCATCTCCATTGCAACTTTGGCTTCACTCTTATACACTCTTCACACTCTGCCCTCTCAGAACACTGCCTGACCCTTAAGACATTCTTCTGAATTCTGCATGGAAGCCTTCCTGACCCTACAACTTTTGCATTTTGCATGTCTGTAAAACATGATGACACCAATATCTGACACCAGTTTGAACAGTAAACAGCCCCCCTTGAATCATCGCTTAGATAGCCTCTGGTTGCCTGGGTGGCCAAAGTCCTGAAGACTTTTTCCTAATTGTCCTCAATGAGCTGGGCTCCCCAGGGATGTCTTCTGAAAGCAAAGTTTTACTTTTGCATTTTTGAGCCTGGGAAGAATGTGGTATTACTGATTCCTGAAAAGCCCTTGAGCCATCTTTCTGTTGTCCTGTTACAAAGTAATGGCTTCTTTTTAATGCTAATCTTTTCAGCAACAAAGACCTCCCCCGCAGCTTGTATGCCCCACATTTACATGTGCCTCCTTTTTGGCCAAAACAAAAATTTTTCACATTTTTCAGCTCTGCCTTTTGGTTTTGATTCTAATGGTAGACAGGTAAAAGCAACAATCAGTACTCATGCCGTACCCTGTATGTTGGGCTGCCTTGAAATTTCCGCTACCAAATTAATTAGTCCACCTTCCATAATCTTAGTCTCCCTAAAATCTCAGGACATGAGCAAAGTGTAGACAAATTTTCTGCCAGAGTATAGCATACGTGATCTTTTGTCAGCTTCTAGTGGAGTGCTTGTTCCCAACTCAAACCTCTGGACCCTGGCCTTTATTGTCTGCATTTCTATCAGCATTCAGATCTTTTGTGCTCCAACCAGAATCTACCATCAAGGTGGCCATTTTATGGCTTCTTAGGCTAATATCTCCAAAAATTTCTAGCTCCTTCTACAAACCAGTTCCATAGGATTTTAAACCATGTGGTTAAGTATATTCATGGCAATAATACCATCATCAGTACCCAAACCTGGATTAGTCACTTTTTCATCACTGAGACACAATATCCAACATTGATAGATTAAAGGGAAGAGAGGTTTATTTTGGCTCACAGTCTTAGAGGTTTTAGACCGTGATTGGTAGGTTCCAAGGCACAAATGGCATGATGAAAGGACCTGGGTTAAGGAAAGCTGCTCATATCATGGTGGCTAGGAAACAAAGAGAGAAAGGAGAAGCCAGGGAGGGAGATATACCCTTCCAGGTCGTACCCCCAGTGTCCTGCCTCTAAACAGACCACCCTGCCCAGTAGCATCAGTCACATAGGCTTTTGCAGGGCATCCAGATCTATATCATAGTGATGGTATAGTATATTTTTGTTTTTTTTAATAGGAGTTATGTTCTATGAAGTTGGGAACAATGAAATAGCAAATATCGTACCAATGTTCCTGTGAGAAATGCAGGGTTAGATTTTTTTGAGGCATAGTTCACAACATTTTCATCTATCAGTTTCACCTACCCTTGTCTTTATGTGTTTCTGTTTAAAGATACCATATTTAATATACATACAGTGGTACCTTGGTTCATGAACTTAATTTGTTCCACGATTCTAGGGAAGATGGCTGCATTTGTGTTTTTCACCTGATGCGGAGTTTGGGAATGGCTGAATTTCTGTTTGTGAACTGAATTGTTTACAGAAAGAAGCCTTTGTGAACTGAGGTACCACTGTATTTGTAAAATTGATTTATTAACATTGAGCTCATGGCCAGTAACAGTATATCTCATGCCTAAACAGAGCCTGTCTAATTTATATTTTCTCTGTAAGGCACATTGTGGTTTCTTCCAGTTGAAACTTTAGGCAGCACATTACTGCTATGCTTGGTGACCATTGTGAACAGTAAAATCACTGAAAAAAATGAGAAAAATGTGCCCTAGATCGACTGTGACAATGACATTCATTTACATGAAAGCCAGGATACAAATCAGGACCTCATCTTGTTTAAAACATTCATATTGAGGGATTTAGTTTTGCTGCTGTGCTTATGTTACCAATGAGAAATAAAGCAAGCATAGCAAGTACTGATTTGAGTTTATAAATAAATTTTATCAAGTAGGCAAATTCACAGATAAGGAATTCACAAATAATGAGGATCCCTTATAACTGGTTTTTATATTGTAAAGCACACAGGAAAAAAATGTTTCCATCTTATGAGGTAAAAAAAAATGTAGTAACACATTATGTGTGTTAAAGAATACAGAGTTTTAGAGTAAATTTTCTCAATTTACTTAATGGATCTTAATCATGGTACAGTGAAAAGTACACAATTACTGGGAAAAATTTCATCTTCTGTTTTTGGTCTTACAGATAGAACTAAATATCTGTTTTGAGGAAAGATCATATCTGAAGATCACAAAGACAGGCTATGAGATTACTCATTTTGAAATTTTGTGGAAGGGATAGGTTAAGCAAAGATACCTGATGAAGAGCTGTCTGTATTGGAATCTTAATTGTCTTAGAAATGTGTTAACTCAGCAAAGATTTAGCCTTTCTGTCTTCATTCTCCTTTTGTAATATAAGGAAAGTGGTAGTACCTAGAATGTAAAGTTTTTGTCAGTTTTAAATAGCAATTAACTTAAGAACCAAGATGCATTATGTAAAGGTACAATTCCCAATGAGAAATGTAATTGTGTTGTATACCTACAATGTACCAATAAAAGAATTTAATACAAAAATAAATAAGTAAATAAAATAAAAAATAAATAGCAATTAACTTTAATATTATTAGTACATGTAAATGCTTAGAACAGTGTCTGTCTTAAAATATGATTACATAATAGCTTCTCTCATCATCCTCATCATTATTGTTGTTAGTATTATTACAGTACTATAAGCTCCAATTAAAGTAATATAATTTAAAACAAATATAAATTTTCATTTATAGTGATGGGATATAAAAAGAGTGTTTATGGGCCAGGGTTTTAGCTCAGTGGTTCTACCGCCTGCCTCGCAAGTTCAAGGTCCTGAGTTCAATCCCTGGTACCAAAAAAAAAAGAGTGTTTATGGTAATCTGTGGTATGAGGCTACTTCCCTAGAAAATAGTATATAAACTAAAATCTGAAGTACTGATAGTGAAAGCAGGTGGAGAGGGCACTCAATTTAAGAGACCAGCGTATGTATGGCAGGAGAGAGAATAGTACATTTAAGGAAATAAAAGATTAGTGTGCCTGGAGGGGAATAGTGTCAAATGAAACTGCCCTTTTAAGGTTTTAGTTGATATTATATCTCATAGACAAATTACGGAATTTGACTTTTAATACTAAGAGCAATAGAAGGGCGCTGAAGAATTAGTTTGGGGAACTTGGGTGTGTGTTAGTCAGCTTTCTCACTGCTGAAACACAGTATCTGACACCTGAAACTTAAAGGAGTAGAGAATTAATTTGGCTCCCAGTTTTGGAAGAGTCTGTCCATGGTTGGCTCGCTTCGAGGCAGGAACATGAAAGGGCATGGGGAGGAAAGCTGCTCACCCACCATAGCTGACACCTGGGAAGCAGAGAGAAGGGAGGCGCCAAGAGCAAGAATACCACATCTAGGTCACGTGTGCAGTGTGACCCACCTCTCCAACCAGGCCCCACCTCCTAACAGCACATGAGTGTTTGGGAATTCATCAGTGCATGAATCCACTGATAAGTGTAGCACCCCCATGATCTAATAATCACCTTCCCAAAGAACACATGAGACTCTTCGGCAACATTTTCGATTTAAACCACACATGAAAAGTTTACTTCAGCCACACTATGCACACAGATTATGTGAAGTATGTTTTCTGTTCTATCAAATCAACTGTAAATACATGCCAACATATTTATGATTCATCATGTATATATAATGCATCATATATATATAAATTTTGGCCCTACTAAAGCATATTAATCTCAGTTAAATAAGTTACATAATATAAGAAAGTTCTTTTCACATATTTTTACAAAAAATTGTTTTAGTTCTTTTAACTAGGATGCAAAGTATAGTAATAGAATAAGTATATATGTATATATCCTTTAATCCTTTTTCATTTATACTCTAAACATTTTAATGAAAATAAGTAAATTTAAAAATTCTTTTAAATTTACTCATTACCAAGTTTCCACTAATAGGTAAATTTAGTTTCTCATTTGAATAGCAGTGAGTTTTATGTTGATAATGTTTTAGCTGTATAATTTTTGCCTGCTGTTCAGATGAAGTTTTTGAAACTGGCCTTTAAACAGATGGTTGTGTAATATTTTAAGTGATTATTTTTTCCAGAGTACTTAACACTTTATGTTTTATTATAACTGGATGTGTAACTTTTAGAATCCTGTCTATATTTGATGTGTTGCCTCTGGTCTTATTCCATAATAAAAACTTACGATAGCTAACATGAATTTTTTTCATATGTTTGAAGACAATGCAGGCAGTGAACAAGAAGATGGATCCACAAAAGACATTACAAACAATGCAGAATTTCCAGAAGGAAAACATGAAAATGGAAATGACTGAAGAAATGAGTAAGTTTAAGAAGATGTAATGAAATACTAAGTTTTCTCATCTTTGTTAGCCAAATTCATTTATTACCACTCTTCTCATTCATGAAGAAGGCAAAATAATGAAACAGGAAATGACAGAGCAAGCTCATACACAGACATTTATGATTGTAACTTCAGTGTATTGGCAAATTTTAAGGCTCAAAATTCTAGTGCTGTTTAACTGACAGAAAAATTTAAAATGTTTATGTCATATTTGTGTTACATATTAGTCTTGACAGTCTTATTTTATTGATTAGTATACCAAAAACGATTTGTGAATATTTCTTCCTCATATAAATGAGTTAGTTCCAGAATTGTATGGATTCTTTCGTACTATAGAAGGTCTATTTGGAGTGGAGGTAGAATAAATGGAGCTCTTCCTTTCTTGTTGTCTCTCAATGCATCATTTAATATTTAGTTTTTTTCTTCTATATAAATTTATCACATGTTATGGTAGAAAAATGTGCAAGAAAAATAAGCTGGGCATTTAAAATTCAGCTATCTTAACACCCCAGGTATAGATAACATACCTTTCTTATTTTTTTCTTACAGTTATAAAAGAGATCAGGGTTATATATACAGTCATGAATCTTATCTTGCTTTTCAAAAACATAAAAATGTAATATAAACATATACTCATAACCTTAAATCTTATCTGAAGTCTTTTTCTTACAAATAGTTTTAGTATTTAAGTTTGTGTCTGATTTATTTCACTTAATATTATGGTCTCGAGATATATCCATTTTCCTACAAATGACTCAAGTTTAATACTACATGTTATTCTTTTTTTTTTTTTTTTGGTACTGGGGATCGAACTCGAGTCCTTGCGCTTGTGAGGCAGGTGACGGAACCACTGAGCTAAATCCCCAGCCCTTACATGTTATTCTTATACACTAATTTATCAAATCTTCCTTACATTTATCAATAAAATTATTTTAAAATTTTCAAAGTATTTGATGATCATTTAAAATATGTTTATGTATTACTTTTTCTGATTTCTTAAATCTCCTTTGAGCATTAACTAAGCTTTATAAACTTTTTATTACTACCAAATTTATCCCAGAAAGACCACACCAGTACTTCTTTCACCGATAATAAAGGAGTGATGCTAACATTTAATTTAATAGCATTTGGTGTATAAAACAGTGTATTTAAATTGCTAGGATTACCCTATTCACTATTGTTCTTATATTTTATTTGAGTACATTTTTCTTCTAGGATGTAATGTGTAATGATACTGTATATATGTGCATTTTTAATAGTTCCAAAAGTTCTTTAGTTTTTACTTCAAGGCTTTACTTTGAGAAATACAACTTTTTCTAAGCTCTTGAATCATTGTCAGTTTTTTATGGCTGACAGACTTACCGTTTGTATGGTGATCACAGTATCTAGCATGTTTATGTGATTTCCAATGATGGCACAAGTGTGAGCAGGTTTTAGAAAAATTAACATTTCCATTCAGATATAGTAGAAAGAATCAATATCCCCTTACTAGCTGAGTGTTGGCACACACCCCTGTAATCCCAGCATTCTGAGAGGTTGAGGCAGGAGGGTCACAAGTTTAAGCCCAGTTTGGGGAATTTAGCTTAGTGAGACCCTGTCTCAAAATAAAGCATGAAAAGAGCACTTTATGTAGCTGAGTGTGAAGACCCTGGATTCAATTTCTGGGTCTGCATTCAATCAATCAATCAATAAATAAATGCCTTTATTTAATCATACATGTATCCAACCTACATGTTGTTCCAATTTGTATTTTAATACTTTGCAGATTAGTTTTAAATAATAGTAGTAACTTATGGTTACCTATTTTTTCAATAATCTAGTAAAGTATACTAACAAATTTTTATGAAAGATGATTTGTACTGTGCCATGTTACTCCAAACTTGTTTGCATTCATGTTTTGGAAACAAGGTCTTTGGGAAATTGTCATTCTACCAATGTCTTTGACTAAATTTATTATGCCGTTTTTGAAAGTGTTCTCTGATAATCCTTATTCCACTTCTGTGGTTGTTCTCAGCTATCCCCTTCTTTCATTTTTTCTGCAACACTTCTTCATTCAGACCTTTTCAAACTCTGACCTGGCTCTCCACCTCCCTGATTACTTCATGGTTATCCAGGTAACACACAGATGAAATATTTTTCCAAAAGTATGCTGATTAGATTTTGTTAATGGCTTTCTCCTGACTACAAAATATAACCCCAAAGTCATGGATCAAAGACAGATTTTCTTTTTTTGTACCAGGGGTCCAACTCAAGACCTTGCATTTGCCAGGCAGCCACAGTACCACTGAGCTTTTCTTGTCAAGCACTTTTATTTTGCCAGTGATAACACTGAGCCCCAGAGAGACTTCTCTCCAAAGTTGCGTAGTACTAAATGAAAGAATTAAGATTCTAATTCATGTCTCAATATTCACTTTATTTCTTCAGACGGTATTCCATATTTTATTTTTTAATCCATACGCTCTTTTTTACCCTTTTCTAATTAGATTTTATAGTATTAGAGTTTACAAAAATTCAGATTTGAAATTGGTGTAAACAAATTAGATGACATTACCAGTATCGACTTTTACTAATGTCAAGGATATAAGCAACATCTGATCCACAGGTGAAGCAGTGAGAGAGAGAACAGGGTTATCACAGGTGATGCGTTGTATCTTGCTTTCCTGTGTCAGAAGATCTCTGATCCACAGTTCCAGGTATCATGTCTAATGAGGCTGCTTATAATCTTACATTAAAGTGATCATTCAGGTTCTGAAATATTTCCAGTGCATTCATTCTTCAAGCAGTCACCTTCTGTGACATTTCACCAGGGATCCTTGGCTCATAAATTCGTAGATTGTAGGTTTGTTACTGTCCTAGTCCTACACTAAGACACCTTGCTAAGGGCATTCTATGAATAAGGAGTATTTGCATAGCAGATATTTGGTCTTTTGCCAGGAGCCCACTTACACAGTTACAGGGAGATCAGATTTGGTCATTTGTCTTTCTTCCTCTATAATTACTTCATTGAGTACTCAGAGGAGTTGCTGTTATAGGCTCACTGTTTATATTTTTTCCCTTCCTAGGCATTTTCTATTTGTGTACCTTGAATAACAACCAAAGGAACTTAAATCTTCCTTGTATTCATCCCCGTTGCCTCACTAAGACTATATCTGTGTTTGGTCAAATCCTGTGCATTCTTCCAGGACTGTGTCACGTGCTATTTCTAGTTGAATGTAACATTTTCCCTCCTGAGACTTTGTATAAATATTTATCGTTATATTTGCCACAATGTGTTCTATTTTTTTTTTCTATTGAAAATGAACTCAGTTCTCCATTTTTCTCCATCTCTTTTTCCATTGTATTTTTACTGTGTGCAGGGACTTGGGTGCCTGGTATCAAAGATAAATAAGACATAATCCCAGGCCTTTAAACATACTTTTAACCCAAATTAATAGGATTCCCAATATACAGAAGGTATTTAATAAGTATTTGAGGGAAAGGAAGAAGAAAGGATTATAGCAGTAATAATCTTGCAAGTTTCTTGACAAATTTAATAAAATATTGATGCTTTAATTTTATTAAAATATTCTACCTATATCTTGATTATAAATTTAAGAAATATGAACATATGGTTACAGGTGTAAAAGAAGTAGTTTGTCTCCCAAATATTAATACGATATTTGATTCTTATATTTCTTTTCCTGGTTAGGTCTAGCAGCTACCAGCTCAATGGATACAATTTTTGGAATCAAATTTAAAAACCTGATTCCTACAGTTATGACTATCACATAGGTTTTGTTTACAAAATAGATAATTTTTTTCCAAACTAAGAATCAAACCCCAGGCCTCACAATATGCTAGGCAAGTGTTCTACCACTGAAATAACCCTAAAGGTAAACTTAAAAAGAAAAAAATCAGAGTCTACTCATTTTATTAAAGGATATTGTGGGTTGAAATGAACATTATTCCAAATTTAGTGGCTTAGAAACACATTTATCCAATTTGAAGTGTGTTTGTTGGTTTACCCAAATTTGGCTTCTGTAATATAAAAAACAGTATAAATTGTTACACTCTCTTCTAAAAATATAAATCTAACCTGAAATCTGTTTGAAAGTAACTGCTTTGTTCTACTCTTCCTCTGCCAAGTTAATGACACACTTGATGACATCTTTGATGGCTCTGATGATGAAGAAGAAAGCCAAGATATTGTAAATCAAGTTCTTGATGAAATTGGAATTGAAATCTCTGGAAAGGTATGAACATCATCTTTTCTGTTTGTCCCTTAATTATTTTGTTTTCTTTTAATGTTACTTAATATTTTTTATACTTATTTCAAAAGTAAATTGCTTTGTAGTGTATCCTTTGTATTGTAGTCGAAATGTTTACTAATACATGTTTTTGTTTTTTTAATTATTTCCTCTGTTCCTCTTTAATTATATAGATGGCCAAAGCTCCGTCAGCTGCCCGAAGCTTACCATCTGCCTCTACTTCAAAGGCTTCGATCTCTGATGAAGAGATTGAACGGCAACTCAAAGCCTTAGGAGTAGATTAGTCAAAAAAGTCATCATATTTTTGCTTACTTACAGTTATTTAGGATAAAGCAAGCACGGTGCATATTCCTTTTACAAAACACATTTATTTTGAAAAATGAAGACCATAAATGAACAGTTGTTTCCTATCCTATGGCTGTTTTGAATCTTTTGCCAAAGAATGACAATGATATACAAATGGAAACAGTTTGAATTTTAATTAGAACTACTTAAGTAAGAGTGGTGATGTGTAAAAAGTTGACTTCTTTTCTGCATGGCATAGAGAAATTATATCTTTTATTTAGTGTCAGTTCATGTTCTAAATATTTTCACACTGAATACAAAATTCTTGTTAAATGCCACTAGGCACCAACTTCAAAAGACTTGTAGAAATAATAAAAGCATATCGCTAATTCTGTTGGGTTGGCCTTTGTAAACAGTTATATTTTATGACCATAGATGGTTCAGCTGCCAAATTATTTATAAATGATCTAAAAGAAGAGTGCTATTTAAACATCTGTCTTAAAAACTGTCATTGGCTTTTCTTTTCTGTTTTTGTTTTTCTTTTCCTTTGGGAGAACATTCTAGTTGGTAAGTTACTACCTTTCAAAATATGCTTGGCACCTGCCTTACATAGCACATATTGTGCACATCTTTAAATTACTTTACCTGGCAGAAAAGAATTAGTTTTAAATAAAAATTGAGATTGCGTACAACTATTCTGGCTGTCTTGTATATCTTACAGAAGTGAATTGAATTTAATTAGCAAAAAAAAAAAAAACTGAAGTAATAATACTTATTGTAATAAAACAGTGTATTTGATCTATCAAGAACTGAGATTTTTCTCCATATGAACTGTAACTTAATTTCTATTTAATTTAGAATTGTTTTAATTCGTATATTGAACTCTAAATTGAAACCATTATTTTAAGTACTACCACTATCACAATACTTGAGCTAAATTTTTAAATAAAAGTTTAACATTTTTTGGTAAACAAACTACAGTTTTGTCAGAAATTACTGCCTGAATGTGTATTACTGTGTTAGCAATATATTTTAGGTTAAGTTGCTATGGTATTTTATGTATAGAGAGAGCAAGGAGAAAATGAAGGAGTGCTACCTTAGTTAGAATTTAGAATTAGGTTAGCTTTGAAAAATGATGCTGTTGTGATACATGAGTTCTGAAACATCCTATCATAAAAATCTTGGAGGAGATCAAATATGTGTAACATGCTTAATTTGGAATGATGGACATTTTGGCCTGATATTGACACATTTAACTAAATTTTAGGACAAATTTACATGTGACATATAAATTGATGGGGGAGGGTAAAACTAAGCCATTTAGTTGAGAATTCATAGATCATTTTATCTTTAAAAATTAGGATTCATTATTGATAGTCTTAAAGAATTCTCAGTTGTTTTGAACAGTGATGAGTGAAAACATTGTACAGTGTTATGGAATGTTAACCCAGAACATGTTCTCATTCTTGAATGTACATAATAATGTCATCTAACTTTATTTACTTTCTTGTTTATATAGTGGGGTTTTTTGTTTTTTAAAATTATTTTGTTAAAAAAAATCTCAATAAAGATTTATTACTGTTTTGCTTTTTTCTTTATGTCTTTTACTCTCTTTTTGGCTTCTGCTAAAATTAGAGTTTTTAGATATATGTGGTAATTTCCACAAAAGCAACCTTTATTATATTCTTAAAAGTAAAATTAGAACATTCTGCTACTTACATTTAATGGCAACAACAGAAAATTTCTTTTTAAGACTTAGCAATGGGTACATTGCTGATGTTTGTAAATTAAGCCTATGAAATGATGTCTTTCTCAGTAAATTAAATTGATAATTTCTCTTCTGGAGTTCCAAGCATGTTTATGTTTTACTTTTAAATATCTAAATCTTAGTCATTACTTTCATTTTAGTCAAAACAAGACTTCTGGACTGGAGAGAAAATAAAGTCATTGTCATTTGGCTACATTCATAAAATGCTTTAGATGGCAGATTTATAATTAACAAATTTGTGATGTTACTCTTTACTAGAAGTAAAAGTTCTTTTTGAACTATTAAAGAATAAGAAATAATACTTAAGAATAGAAAATATAGGCAACCTAATAGAATTTTTTTTTTAAAGTTGCTTTCCATAATGTCCCATTTTTTGGTAGTTGGATTTTCTTAACATTTGTATACAAATGGCAAGAGGTTGCTAAAAGAAAGAGCAGAACAGTATCTCTGGTACTGAAAAGGATGTAGCCCAGTGGCATGTTTTGTTACCAGATGTAAAAGTCATGGATGGAGGAGATTTCAGAGCATCAAAAGTAAAGTGTGGTGGTATGAACACGTCAGTATGAATGATAACACCTGGTACTAGGAATGGCCATCTGTCAGCTGATTGTTCTGAACGGGCTGTACTTCATGCTGTAAGGGAAATACCTGGTTATGGCAGTGGCTAGTGGAGCGGGCCTCAAGGTAGTGATCCTGTTAAGCAGAGGGAGGAAGCTAACACGCTGTGGCCTTTATATTTGAATTGCACAGTGAAGTCTTATTTCCATTTGAGGGTCCCTAGGATGCTGTCCTTTGACCAAATGTACATCTTCTAAGCCCAGTTGCCATACCTCTCATGTTCAGTGTGAACCTAATTTAAATATGTACTACTTTAGATACTCTTATGTTAAAACAATTTTGGTCCTTATATGAAAAGATATCTATGATGACTTTCTTTTTTGATGCCATTGCTCTTCATGGACAGATTTCTCAGTTCCAAAAATAGATCAACTTTCCAATTTCATCGCTGTGGAAGTTGAGTCAATAAGAGGACTCAAAACCCATTCCTCTGTACGTAGTACCAGAGAGTCACTTGGCTTGAATTTGTTTTAAAGGAAGCCTAAGAATTGTAAAGTCTGATTTCGCTACCCCATACGTACCCCACCACTCACTAAGAACTTGAAGACACACACATCTTCCCATTCTCTGATACTACAGATATTCCTTTGACTAGACAGATTCTTTCCAGCATTAAAAATAAGAAGGTAAACTAGGTAAAGTTTAAAATATGATCAGTATAAATGGGTAACAAATCTTTCTATTTCAATGAATGTTTCTACTGAATTCTTGAAGAAAACACTGTAAAACTTACAAGGACATAAAATGGAAATGTTCATCAAAGACATCAGTCTTTGATGTATATTTCCAAAAGTATGGACCCTTAGATACTATACAATAAATGACATTTGGCATTTGCTTAATTGTAGTATAGGATTCTAAATTACATTAATCCTTTTCTGTTGTTTTAAAAGGTCAATATATAAAAGAATGTCTATATAAAAAAAATAGTTTCAGGACTCATTAATATAAATGGAGTAACGTAGAAACCAGTACATTTACAACTAACACATGAATATTTAAATTAGTATATAATTGTTATTTCAATATTAAGCATTCATTTAAGATAGTTTCTTTTAGGGAGAAATGATGACTCCTGATGCTAATTGTATGTTATCTTGAAAAGATAGACCTTATGGATAAATGTATGATTACCATCTAAGCATGGATATATTTATACTGATGGTGAACTAAACACATGCGCACACATACGTTTGTTTCTATTACATAAAGTCAGATTATATTAAACAACCACTGGATTCATAATTAAAATAAAAATATCACTAAGCTAGATTTATATTGCATTATATTTTGCTCCTTTACATGGTCAAAGTGCATATATATATGGATGTACTGACCCTACCTATTGCAAACTAAAGAATTCCTCAGTGCTTTCAGCAGAGAAAAAACTTAAAACACCTGCATGGTCAAATAATTTAAAATTTACTCGAATAAAAGTAATACTTCTTGGGTGTTAAGTGTATGGTTAAGTGTGGATCATCAGGTCTTTGAAAATTATCTTTTATTTGTAATATCTGTGCTTATTAGTAATAGATCAAAACTGGTGGTTATGCACACATATACATACATGACCCTCAGAAAATTGACCTGTCTAATGCTAGGTATTTAATAATTATAAAAATGGAGGTTTGACAATAATAATTTATTAAGTGTTCTAAAGCAAAATTTGGCTGAAATGTTCACTTTATTAAAGTAACTTAGATAAATATTGCCATCAGATTTACATTCAAATTGTAAAATTATGCTATTCTACATTTATGTCACATTATAGTGTGCTTCGAGCTGAAAGTTTCAAAGAAGTTGATTCCTGTAAATATCTTTGAGATGCCATTCCCAGAATTGAAAAGTTCAATACATCAGATTTTTTATTAATTGGATTCTAATCAGTTCTACCAAATGTGTGTGTGTGTGTGCATAAAATGTTCTGGGCTATAAGATTTCAAAAATGGGTCATATTTTAAAATTAGGCAGCACCCTTCATGTTTGTAGCCATTGTTAATAATATATTTAATTTAACAAAGATTGCATGCCTGCAGTGACACTTTCCCATACTTTGGAGAAATAACAGCAGACAATTTAGTTGTTTTTCCTCCTCTGTTGTAGCTTATTGATTAATAGTTTGGGGCACATGAATCCATTAAACTATTTATTTATGCTGGAGATCTAACCCAGGGCCTGGTACACGCTAGGCAAGCACTTGACCACTTGAGCTATATTTCCAGCTTACATATTTTCTATAACTAAACATCAAAAAGCTTATATTTGAGAATATACAGGTTATACAGAAATGTTTTTGCAAATCCCTTGAAATACTACTTTGGGCTCTGTGCCCTAAATATTAACTTCAAAGGTATCGATTCTGATGATTGAAGTTCCAGTAATAAAATTCTAAGACATCTCTGGCCCTGAAGTTCAAAACTTTTAATCCAAGCAAACTGTTAGGGCTAGTGATAGGCAGAATACTGATTAACAAATTTTCTAATTGGATTTTCCTTGGTCAAATTCCTTAGGTATATTAAATTACTGATTAAAAGATTAAAAATCTGATAAACTGCCTTAGAAGAGGAATTTTAAACTAAGAGATCCATGTGCGTACTCATGTTTGTGTGTCTGAAGATAGAGACATAGGGAAGTTCATGCATTTTCTCCAGTTAGTATCTTTGGCTTAAAATATAAATCTGGCTTCTGAGAATAATTATTTTTAAAATAATATAATTTAAACTTGGATTTTCAATAAAAATAGTGTTATACTAGAAGTTTTTGGTATAAAATACTTTTTAATTCACCCAAGTAAGTTCTGTTTTTCTGGAGAAGAAAAAGGAAGGAGAAATGGGGTTGGGTAGCTGTTATGCAATAGAAAATCTTATCTGCACTCAAGATGCTCTTTAGAAATAGAAAACAGACTTTGATTCAAACTTGTTTTCACCCGTTTTTCCCTCTGCCTTCGGTTGCAAAACCAAACTCTTACTACTTCTTTTTCAAGATTCAGTTCTTCAGCCATCCGCATGATCTCTTGAGAGGAAGGTTTATTCTGTTCTCCAAAGTTTCTCTCCAGAGCATCTTTAGCTGCAATACTGTAGGAATGGGATGGAGTGAAGTTATGTTATTTTAGTGAAGTTTTGAGGAGAACAAAATTAACTTGATTTTTCTAAATAATAACATGACAAATGGAATTTAAGAATTATGAAAATGCTTGAAAAAGGCGAATATACAGTATGTTAAAATTTAGGTGCTTGTTTTATATTGGATAACATTGCCTAAGTAACAAAAAAGTAGAGCCACTCATGCTTCCTAGATTTATTCCATTTTATGCCACAAGAGGGCAGCAAATTCTCATGAAAGGAAATTAACACCTGTAGGTGTAACTATCACCCCTTCTCCATTTTTTTTAACAGTGTATGAAATGTCTAGTGAACAGTTGACCAGCCAAATAAAAACTTGGACTGTAGCATTTCCTATGTGTACCGCACAAAAAAAGATAAATGAACAACCTTTTTAGGTTGAAATTCAAGAAGTCATGTTAGACTTTAAGAGAAGAAAATACAGATGACTAGTTTGGTCATTTATAGTAAAATGGATACCATATTGCCAGAGCAGTAACTTACAGTAAAAAAGACAGCAGGATTAGCAGTGATTATTTGATTTTCATTTTTACTTTACACTTCTGAAGCAAAAATGTTCCTGAATGAAGCAACATGTACTTTGCTATCTAATGTTAAAAATCACTAGCTGTCCATTTCTCACTTTAATTTTTAAAATTATGTTTTTAGCTTATTGTGTTTCTTCAATTGATGTTATTCATCTTAAATTATGTTGTGCTTATATTACACTCGTGCTGATTTCATTTACAAAATCTTTTTCTTTTGTCTCTTCACTTTTAATACATGAAAAGAATACCTTATAGTTGTTCTGCGTTTCCTTTTCCTTTCATTTGCTCCCACTTTTTCATTGTACAAAGCTGGAATGTGGAAAAGGGATAATATTTGAGTGTCAAGTTTTCTACACAAACAATGCAAAATAAAATTATGTATTTTGTGTTAAATTTTTGCAGTCCATTTTATACAATGGAGTACTACTCAGCCATAAAGAAAGAAAACTTGATACATTTATAGCTAAATGGATGCACCTGGAGATCACTCTTCACTCTTAAGTGAAATAAATTGGACGCATGTGTAAATACCACATTGTTTCTCTGGTGTGAGAAACAGTGTAAATGAGGACCAAACTGTATAATAAATATTATGAAATAGGAAGAAAGTGTTCAAATGGGAAGGGGAAGTAGGATAGGTAGGTGGGAGAAAGGATAGAAGGGAAAGAAAAAAGTAAGGAAAAAGTGGAAAAGCTTTTGTAAATGAGGGGTGGAGGAGTTGAAGGGAGGAAAGGGGAATGGGAAAAAATAAGAACCAAGATATATGCTGTGCAGGTACAAATTCCCAATGATGAATGTGATCATTATGTATACCTAAAATGTACCAGTAAACTTAATAAAGAAAAAAAATAATACAAATCTATAAAAACACTTTTGAAGTCCATTTTATATTACACTCCATGGAAAAATGTTAAAGCACAAATAAGTATTAATTTTGCAACATCTTTCTGGAAATCATAGTCTCACCTTTTGTTAGAACACTTGCTTTAAATACTCTCAAACCTGGCTCTTACCTAGCCTTTATATTAGAATGAGCATGTAATTTTATTGTGTAATATTGCTTATCTACCAGTTACTTGTGTTATTTGGAAGACTGGTGTTTACAAATGCCCTCTGCGCACTGATACTAGGTTGTGAAACTGATTCATGCAGTTACTCCAGTATAGCAAGAGGCAAAAAAATCTAAGATGTGTTAAAATCTTTTGTACCGCTTTGTGCTGAAATTATCTAGAAGTTTTCTTTATATAGCTTATTCTCTCAAACTTATTTCTACAATTGTATTTCATTGGGCTTTTTTATGTAGTATGATGTAAGAAAATGTTTATTTTTCATCTCAAAGGGAAAATGGGTATAAAAACCCTCAAACCTCTTGCTTTATCATTAGTGTAGTCATTATTTTTCGGTTAAGCTGCAGCACGGCCTTAAGAGACAGTCTAGTTAGTACCTCCTACTTGCTCGGCTTCCTCCAGCCACTTGGATAATATTGCTTTCAGTTTGCATGCGTTTTTAAAGCTGAGCTGCAGGTTTTCAAATCGGCAGATTGTTGTTTGACTGAATTCAGAGCCATGAACAGCTGCCAGGGCTTCACCAACATTTGTTTGAGTGTATCCTGTGAAAAGACAACAAAGATCATTAGCTCTAGCTTTTAAGTGACATCAGTTTTGATCCATTATTATTATTATCGATCCATTATTATTTTGATCCAATCTCTGTATTTGATCCATTATGACACAAATCTCTGTATCTCTGTCAGTCATTAAATACTTTTAAAAATTACATATTTTTGTCAATTTAAAATTGTTTAGTAAGGTTCAATGTGGGGTTTTCCAGTGCATCAAAAAATATTTTTTTCAAGTTGATAAATTACTTTGTTTTAGAAGTAAGAAGAACTCAGATGGGAAGATAATATTTAGTCCAGGTGCATAGATAAACACTTTATAAGATACTTAAAATTCCTGGTCTTTTTGTCATTGCTATTAAATATCTGATTATATATGCTCTAAGATCTTTAATATATCAATGATAATGCATAAAATATATAGTGAGATACCATTTTTTCTTTGAAATATAAATGAGTTTTGTTTTGCGGTACCAAATAAATCTATGAGTTTTTCTGAAAGCATGTTTGTTATGAGGTTATATCACAAATTTTATGCATACCTCTGAGCACATTTAATATATTATTTGGTAATGCTTCTATCTCCAGGCAAAAAGAGCTTTATTGATTGTCTCAAGCATCTCTAGAGTACAAGCTGAAATAAACCATCAACATATCATTTGAAACACAGCAATATAAATAGAAAACTGAAAATAAGTATTATGCCTCCTGCTATGTTTATTGCATATAGTAGTTACATATTATTTCAGGGCCTAAGGCTATATATCTATATTGATAAAATTATTACATATGATGCCTATAAATAAATATCAGTAAAAGATTACCTGTCGTTCATTTCACAAGTTCAAAGGTTTGAACCATAACTTCAATGCATATTTCAAAAAATGTACTATATGAATTTTAAGGTTATTGTTATAGTAACTTTATATTAAAAACACTTTTCAACAGAAAATGAGCAATGGCTCCTCTGAATTGACAGTTCACAGAAGGGGAAGTACAAAAACTATTAAACACAGGAAAAATACTCTTCTCATAATTAGAAGGTTTTTAAATGAAACTTAATGAGGTACCACTTTTATTTGATTTCAAAGACCCAAAAGATTAATAGTGCTTTTTCTTTTAACCAGTATTTATCTCATATTCCAAGTACTGTTCTTAGTGTTAGAGATACATCATTAAGGAAAAAAGAGAAAAGAAATGAATAAAAAAACAAACAAACCCGAAACGTATTCCTTATAATTTGAAGATAGCAAAGGAGATATTCTTGGTGGAAGTGAAAATTGGTATAAATTCTACAGAAACCAATTTAACAACATATATCCAAATCACAAACATTCATAGTCTCTGATCAACAATTCTACTTCTCATATTTTTCCTGTATGTATGTTTATATAGGTGCAAAATGACATTGAAAATTATCATTGTGGCACTGTTTTTAACAGCAAAAGATTAGAAACCACCTAAATTCTATAAGTAGAGAACTGGTTAAATTATAGTGTATTCATGAAATGAAGTTTGCACATCTACACAAGAAAAGAAAAATTGGGGTTGGGGATGGGCCTCAGTGGTGGAGCACTGGCCTAGGATGCTTGAGGACCTGGGTTCCATCACTATTACTGCGAAATGTATAAGTCAATATATGAATAAATAAATGTTTAAAAATAAGAAAAAAACAAAGTTTTCCAAAATACATCTGTAAAAGAATACATGTATTTGTTTATCTATGTATAAGACAGCTTTGGAAAGAAGAAACTAATGTAAAGAGGAATAACAAGCAGAAAGGATACATGTCATACCCTTTCATATTTTTTAATCAAATGAATGTATTATGTATTCAGGAGTTCAAATAAAATGTAGATAAGAGGGACACTCCAGAATTAATCTTGAGGTAGGTAAATTTTTCAAGTACTATTAATTTAAAAATTCATGTTTTTAGGTTACTAAAATTCAGAAGGATAAAAGTTTTTGTAGATTTTCAAAACTTGACTAAATCCACAGTAGAGAACTTAGATTTTTTAAACAAAGTGTGAAAAACTTCACAATAATAGAGTAACGATCTGCAAATTAAGTTGTTTGCCCCATTCCTCCTAATAAATGCATACCTAACTTGATTCTTCTCACTTTAAATTCATTGGCAAACTTTTCAAGTTCTCTGATTTCCGGAGAATCCATGTCTGTTGGCTCTTCAACCAATTTACTTTTCCGCCTGAGTTCCTGCTTGAATTCAGAGGCTGTGGGGTCTTCCGCTAGCAGAGGCTGGTGTAGGGGAGGAAATCCATGGCTCAGAGCGTGGTCTGGAAACTTGTAAAGACACGGGGTTAAACTGCCTGTGAATAAAAGAAGAGAAGGAAAGCACTTTTTGTAACTGTCTCATATTTCTATAGAACCGAGGGTTTTGCCTGGTAGAGCCCACTACTCTGCTAGAGTCAATCTCAATTCTTTCTTCCAAAAGAGGAGCCAGTAACTTAGTAGGAATGGGATTATTTATCTTCCATCTTCTCCAGAGCAGCAAAAACAAAGGAAAGAAACAAGAATTTGCAAATCATTAAAATTAAAATATTTTTTAATTCTCTGAGAAATGTTAAGATTTCCATCACTCTTTCTTTCAAAAGACAGCTATTGTTGAGCCGGGGATATAGCTCAGTGGTACCACTCCTGCCTTGCAAAGCTCAAGGTCCTGAGTTTGATCCCTGGTGCCTATTATTAGGGATCTGAGGTTCAACTTTAACCAGAGTATGTATTGATCTCCGTTTCCTTAATTCATTGACTAAATGATCATTAATATTTGCAAAAATCAAGGCACTATTTTTACTATGAACTGTGCCGATTAGCATTCTTGTGTGTGGAAAATTGATCTCGCAATGTTGAAAAACCCCACTGCTTTATCAGTAAATGCCCAATTTCAGGTGGGAAGTAATAATGTATTTTTTATCTTAACAAAGACAAGTAAAAAGAGAGTTATGAGATATTAAAATACACTTATATGGTTAAGCAGATTTGAGTGAATAGAATAACAAAAGTAACTTTAAAAGTTCTATTATAATGCCAGAAAAAAGATTTCTTGAATATATACAATATTATGGAATTTTATATTATTATTTATGGAAAAACAAAAAAAAGTGCAAGGGAAGTTACAATTCCATGTATGATAGGTAATCACCTGTAAATGAAGCGTTAAGTGGCTTAAATGATAAATCTTTCAAAAGTAAAATATTCTAAATTTTTAAAAGTGCTTTTAGATTTCATTATTCATTGGGAAAAAAGTATCTATATTAGTTTAGGAATACAGGTGAAAGGACGGCACATAAAAAAAATTGTAACACATTTAATTTTCTTCATTGATATATTACAATTTTTATTGACAAACATTTACTTTTAATTTATATTGGATGACATATATAACCAAGCATTCTGATGTAGAAATAGTAATCATTTTTCTCACGAGTACAAAAATACTTAAAAGCAAATTATTATAGGGTATATGCAATTATTATTCCTTGAAACTTACTAAAAATACATCGTTTGCTTCCTGTAAATATATGAATAAATACATAAATACATTCACAAATCAAAGACATGAGTAATAATGTAATATACAAATCTTTCATTAATATATCAATATGTAATGAGCAAAAGTAGAGTAAGTCAGCAAATTATTGATTTACATTACTTACATGAGAATATGTGATTATATAGTGTATCCCTATTCAGTAAAATACATTATTTTTCTAAAGAAAAGGAAATATAAAGCCGGGGATTTAGCTCAGTGGTTCTGGCGCCTGCCTTGCTAGAGCAAGGTCCCGAGTTTGATACCCAGTACCAAAAAAAAAAACAAACAAAAAAAGGAAATATAGGAGCCAATATAGCTGTTTTGCAAGTGTGAAAAAGATTTTAAAGAAACTCTTTTTGTCCTCCAAAATGCTACTTTTACAAAGCCAAATTATCCAGTTAAACTGTTCCATATCTTTTACATAGTATACCATAAGGTCTGAATCTATTAGCAACATTGATCATTATTTTCAACTCTCCTTACTGATCATAATCCTGTACTGCTACTACAAGTCTGTAGGAGACGCTATGTTTATTTCACCTGCCATGATCCTCACCCTTATATAAACAAATGAGTTAGGAAAAGTATGTGTTACTGTATGTGCACCTCAATTTACAATGGGAAATTTCCATAGAAGTAAATAACTGTCTTCCAGTTCCATGATGATTTAACAGTGCAGCAGTAATTAGAAGCAAAGTCCACTGAGCATTAGAATAAACCACATCAAAATAGTTACCTAGGTGATTTTTTAGACTCTAGTTAGGTAAATTAAATGACTAAGATTTTTCCTGTATATAAACATATTTGGCTACATTAAACACTTTCAAACAAAAATGTAATTATTCAAGAATGTTAAAAGTGTGTCCTCCAGGAAAATGTAAAGGTGGTTTGCACATTTCAAAGATAAGTTTGGAAAAAATCAATGAAAAGGGCACAATCAATACCATTCTCTAAGACTTGACATTCAGAGCAAAATGAGAACTTGATGTGCAATATAGTTTTATTTTCTGTTATATAAAAGCATCCACAGTTTTCTGCAGGATCCCAGTTCTCTTGGAACTAAACTTACACAGAAATTCATCATAGCAGTTGTAAGCAAAGCCAAACAAAATACTGATTTCATTATATGATTCTGTATTTTTTTGGAGGGTGAGTCTCAGAAGTGATTGGTATGACAATAGGAGAAGATATTTTTCAAACTTTTTTAAAGTATGGATTACTGATAAGAAAAAAGTAGGAAGAAGATAAAAGAGGTGGCCAATTATGTAGAGATCTCACACATTTTCCAGAATGTAGACAAATTCATGTTTAATGAATAGCTTACAAGTGTTTGTATGCTCTCTACTCTCCCAAATATATTTTCATGTTGCAGATGACCACACCACAGCCTTTCTCGATTGTTCTGTGTGTATCTCTGCGCAGGAGAGGTGAGAGAACAGAGGTGAATCTTTCAAAGCAGGTAATGGAGTTATGATAATCTTTGATTATCCACTTTCCATTAAATAGAATAGATGTTTAGAGGTACTAAGTGACTGGAACAAGGTTAGCGATTAGTTAATGATGTGGCTAATTCATTTCCACCTTCCAGTTATTCCTTTAGTTTGTTCAAACCTGGACTATGAGGTAGAGTGGATTCACTTGATGATTAAAATCCTCCATACCAAAATGAAAAAATATTAGCTGTAGCTCTTCCCTTTCTGTGAGTCAGCCTAATAAAATGCTCCAACTAAAGCAACAAAGTACGGGTAATAAAATCACCATATTAAAACAGCAATTTCACATCCTCTGAAATGTGGTTCCTTCCATAGCTTCACTTTTGTCTATAGCACCTGACACTGAATCTGTTTTTTCTGTTGATAGGTTTCTTCTGTAGATTGTATGGAAGTGATTTAATTATTGCCTTGAGACTTCTCAGAATATTTAAATGACATAACCAGGTTTCTACTGTGTATTTTATACATTTTTGCTCTTATTTCAGAGTTCCTATATTTTATAACTCAATCTGTGCAGCTTCTCTAGGGATGAAGGAAGGAAAATTCAGATTCTCTATGATTTAATATGCTATGAACCAAATGCTAATGCTGAATATACGTCAAAGTATAGATACTCTGACATAATGCATATCACATTTTAATGATACTTCATTCAAAAATATTCAAATACAATCTCTATGCTTGCCATTGTTTTTCTTTTGGTGACAAAATATATTGAATTTTAAATTTACAATGATACTTCCAAATCTTGGTATAAAAAATTATTCCTAATGTCACTAAGCTTGGCTTTGAATTTTGTTAACAGTCTTTCCAGGAGCCTTTCCTTTTTAATTGCAGTGAGAAAGATGTTAATGAAAGGGGGTTTGCTGAGTGTCTTCTTGAAGGAACTTGTGTTAGCAAGACCTGAGCTGCCTGTTGACTCTCAGTGTGAACCTGCCCTGTTGGCTTCTACCCTGGAACAGGATGGATGGCGGAATTCTGAGGCCAGCTTCAAACTCCCTTTGACTTAATGGGGAGGGAGTTAGTAGTAAAAATCATCTGAAGGTATTAGGGGAAGAGATTATTGGCCAGTGGTCTGTGATTGGTTTCATCTTTGTTATTATTGCAATCAAAGGGCAGGAACTGGCTCTTCTGAGTTAAAAGAAAAACTAAAGCTATACTTTGGTTCCTGGGAATCCCTATGAATAACTTCCCTTCAGGAGAGGGCAGCATATGGCCATGTAGTTGACACTGCCTGTGTATATAATCAAAATGTTATAAAGAATAAAGAAAGCTTCCCCTTGCACCACTGGTAGCTCAGTGCATATATTTTATTATTTTCTAATGAAAGCAATTCATCACTGAAGAAGGCTATTCTATTAAATATGAACACTGATTAATTCGATGGGTCATAAGTGATCAGTTTGCAAAGAAGAATAAATTTGTCTTCCCTTATTTGTTAATTATTGAAAAGAGAAACCAGAACTTACAGTCAACCATTAAGAGCATCAGTCTTCATTTTGCCATAAAAAGGAAGATACTGATTTATTCAGAACTGCTGTTTGACAGAATATAAGAGAAACTAAAATTTGTCTGAAATGTAAGTTTCAAAGTTTATTGAGCCTTAGGCTGAGAAAATTTGAGAAATTAAAGATTAGTGAATTAAATTGTTCTATTTTATTTCAAAATTGTAAGCCTAAATCTGTGTTTTTATTTGTTTTATTGCTTATCTGGAAGGTAGCGAAATACAAGTTAGAAAAGATGTCCCTAACATGTGATTCCTTTATCCAAAATTTCTGTCACTGTATCAGACATGCACACACACACACACACACACACACACACACACAAATATATTCTCTAAGTCTTAATTTAATGCCATTAATGGGAATTCCTTTTCTGCTGTAATAATAAATATGAGATCAAAGAATTTCTTTAAAGCAAAGGAGAAAAATTCTGCACAACAAGCCATGAAATTCATTAAACTATTAAAATCTTATACCTGGCCATTCCCTGAAATTAAGCAATAATTTTGTCATGAGTGTACCTCATGGTCCAGATTTGCCCATTTTTTGAAAAATATACTAGTGATGTAATATGTAAGCATTGGTAATTCCATAGCTATACTTGAAATAGTGTGATACTTGACTAATCCAGAAGAGAAAAATATGTAATTTCATTTATTTCAATCTTAGTTGAGACTCAGAAGCAATTCAGAAAGGGCTGCTAAATCTTGAAATAGCTATCACTAAAGTCCCTGAAAATTGCTCAGCCTTCAGTTAGTGTCTTACTTATTTCTAAGGAAAAAATATCCAAAAGAAATACTATTATGAAACAGATATTCCATGCATGTGTTGTCTGACATGATAGCCACTAGCCACATGAGGCTGGTAAGCACTTGAAGTGAAGCTAGTGGAACTGCATTTTAAATTTTGTTTTATTTTAGTTAATTTATATTTAAATTTGAATAGCTATAAGCAGTTGATAGCTACCATATTGTTACTGAAGACAAGCGCACAAATCATAAAGTGGGAACCAGCAGTTTGAAAGCAGTGAATTCAAACAAAAATCATAAAGAGAAAACACAATAATTTTTCAGTAGCGCCACAGATGTGAGATGTGTAAAATAAGGCAATTAGGTTAACCTTTCAGATCAGGAAATATGTCAATAAGTGATGGTTTTGACCAATTATTTCCAAGGTTAAAACATCAAAAAATTTTACATCATGCTCTGATAATGACTATCACAGGTCCAGGAAATCCATCAGTGTCCCCCAATTCAAAATCATACATAAAGGTAAATTTTCTTACCTGCCATCACTCCATAGGTTGATGGCTGGTTTCCATAATGGCAAGAAGGAACAGAATAATGTAGCCCCGTTGCTGCGTTTCCAAACGTTGTCACCGGGAAATACATGTGCAAACATTTAGGAGTTTGGATCAAAGACAAAATAGATGGGACTGGTAAGAAAATGTATGAGGATTCAAGACACATTCAGTTCATTTCAAAGATACACATCTATGTGAGCCTTAAAGTTATATGTCAATAATTTTTTCACTGAGAAAAGTTTTTAGTGAGTACATAAATGAGGGGTCAAAGTTTGCCTCAAAGAGGACTACACCCTTCATTAATTATCCTGTGGTCTTAGTGTCTAAAAGTGCCCCATGAAAGGGTGACTGACCAGTTTGGATTGTGGCTTTTTAGGAGTTGCAAAATTCTTGTATGTTCCAACCATTATAGATGTTGCGGTAAACTGACTAGAAAACAGTGTCTTACTATTCTTGCATTGCATGATATTATAAAGAGGTTTTTCTCTGGAAGAATACTGAAAATAACTCTTGAATATTCTCTACTTTTGCTTATGAGCCTAACATCGCAAAACTATTCTGGGTACAATCATAATAATCTCACTACATTCAGGGTGTTCTGAAAACCCTGTGACACAGGTGTTTATGCTGAAGTTGAATCCATGAGGTTTTATGTATGTTGCATACACATGACAATGATTCTGATAATAAAGTTGATCAAAAAATAGATTGATGAGTAAGAATATGCCAAAACTGTGTATAAACAATCTCATTGATATTTTATGTACTTCATGGAAACACTGTAATTTGAAAGAAAATTTGAATTACTAAACTTTTATCAAGTTTTAAACACAAATCATCAAGTTGGCTTAGAGCAGGAACTATTCACAATAAAACTGCTAGTCAATGTTTCATTGTGTATTTTATTACTTTCTGCCATATCCTGAATACAGTGGTAGATTTTCATAAGTATAACATATATCTATCTTCTTGAATTAGATATTATATAGTATATTATATAGTATAGAATTAGAATCCTTTTAGAATATTGAGATATAATGTAGTGATTAAAGACATGAGGACTATTCATAAAGAAAAATGAATTTTGTCTCAGTATAGAGTAATTTTTAAATTTTTAAAAATCAGCATACATTTTCACTTTATAACAGACATTGAAAGAATTAAAGTGAGTTTGCAATATAATGATCACACACAAAAATACTAGTATTCATTTTAAAATTAAACAAATGAATCTTTAAAACATTTAACACTCAAGTGTTCTACTTAAAACCAATGTTTCTAATTATTTCCTTGGCAATTAGGTGTATGTAATTATAATTTTGTAGGAAATTATGTCAATTTAAAATATTTAAAGAACATTTCTGCTGTTGAATTTTTTTTCTACTTCCAAGATTTAAATAATTTTTGTTTCTCTGATTTTATAAAGTTGGGTAAAGAATAGACTAATTAGTAGATACATTGTTATTAACTGTGAAATAAATATTTTGGCTTATAGACTATACCTCTTTGCTAGACCTTTACCTCAATTCTAAATTTTATTTTATTGCTGGTTAGGTTTTCTTTATATACAACAGATTAAAGAAACAATGTATCACTCTTTATCTCAAACTTAAAGATTTATTATTTAAATATATGATTATGTAGTAGTTTTTAAGATTCATATATACTGTGTGTGTATATATATATATATATATTTTTTTTTTTTTTTTGGTCCCGGGGATCGAACTCGGGACCTTGTGCTTGCGAGGCAGGCACCGGAACCACTGACCTAAATCCCCGGCTACTGTATATTTTTATTAAACACATTGTTACTATATTTTTCAAAAATATGTTGAGATACTTCAAATGTAATTGTTTGATATAATTATAGAATTCTTTAGTACATAAAAAATCACTACATTAAATAATTTTCCAAAAGCTAATGTCTAGAATCTTTAAAGTTGACCTTCAGAGTGACATCAGACTTACATACATGTTTGTAAAATGGCTAATGTTAATGTAAAATAGATGTTAAATATTTGCAACCAGAATATAAAGGCATCAACTCAAATTTTGATTTCCAAATGTATACATTTTATTCCATTTCTAAATATGAGACACACTACATTTAAAACAAATGGAAAGTGAATAGTATGGTGCTATTTAGTGGAAGAAATTTTCTCAAAGCCTTTACCCATTTATAAATCAACTGAAATAATTTTTGTTATTGTCTAAATAATGAATGTAATATAAAATATGTATTTGATTGTGTTCAGACAATATTTTGAATATTGAAATTTAATTTTTATTTAAGAAAGTTAGCTGAAGCAAACATAAGATCTTGTTATACAGATTAGTCTCTTCAGAACAATCATGAATTCATCAGCTTTCCCTCTAAATTTAATATTATGCTAAAATGTTTCTTATAACTTAATTATTGTATTTTTTAAAATCCATTTTTATTGGTATTGAGGATTACTTTGTTGTGTTTACTATAAATTTTATATATGGTTATTTTTAGACAATAGCAAATGTAATGTAAAAGTCAAATATATATAAAGAAGTGCCATCTATTAAACCTCAAACTATTTTAGAATATTTATTTGAATTTGTTACTTATCCATAAATATTTCCATTAAGTTCGATGTTTTCTTACATAGAAAAGAGATTTTGTTTATTACCTTAAAGATCAATAATTATCTAAATGATTTCCCTAATTTTTAAAAATTTTTAGGCATTTATTAGTATTATTAGTATTTAACTTTAATATTATTAGTATTTAACTTAAAACCAATTTAATTGAAGGGAAAAATAAAACAAGCAGAGAGATTACTAACTAAGATTCAAAGCGTCCCTTCGGAACTCTTTGGGCCCAGCGCGAGGAAGCCTCCCAGGGGTCAGTACCTGTAGACATCACGTTGCTGGCGTGGTTGGACACTGGTAGACACTCGGCAGCGCTGTGATGCATTATCAGAGGCAAAGTTGCAGAAGCCTCAGAATTCAGAGGTATAAAGGTATCAGCCGAAGTAAAAGATTGGCAACTCATTCCCACACAAGAGTAGAAAAATAAGAACTGCTGCTCCCCAAATCAGTTTTATTATATTACTTTTTGCAGGGCTAATTCAGTTCTCTCTACCTGCATATATACATCAGGGAGGCTCTGAGGCACCAGGCAGGCGCGTGCTAGTATTTATACTGCAAGGAAATCCCTTTATACATGTTAATAGTCTTTTCCCAGGAGTATTGCTTTATCAATCTGAACTGGCTTCCTTTCTCAACCCAACCTACCTGTGCCCAAGAAGGAAGCCGGTTCTGGGGTACAGATTTAAGGGAAGGGAGAAATCTAAAATTTTATTTGACAAATTCAGTAAACCAAACCTTTTAGAGAGGAATCAAGAACTTTGAAAAAGTGTCTCTCAAAGAAATAATCTACAATGAGATATTTTAATTTTTGATAACTTATCACTAAATCTGCTAAATAACATGAAACAAGAAATGCATACTACATTCCTTTAAGAATTTTAATGTTTAAATTGATACTGAGAAATGCATGAGACCTCTACATATGAAAATGAATGTTATCAATTACTAATTTAAGTTCAACAATGCACATTTTGAAAACTGTTAAAACTAAATTAATTTTTACTACAACTGAAAAAAATGTTTAAAAATGAATACAGTGCAGTAATGTTCATGGAAACCAAGCCTAAGTGATTGTATCTCTCTCTCAATTTCAGTTTACTCTCCAAGAACCCAACATTCAGGAAGCTCATATTTCACTAAAGAGCCTGTGCTAACAATGATATCTTTGGGAGCAGACTTTTCACACAGAGTATACTGACATGATATGAGAACGAAAAATACACACTGTAAATAACTGATTTAAAGTAAATACCATCAGGATTATTTAATGATTGTGATTTCTATAAGTAAATGAGTGAATGCAACATTATATAGAGCATGTCTGCTAGGGTAATATAGCAAATGGAACTAACTTGATAGGCATCAGACATTACTGATGTACACTAGTGCCATCCCTTCATCGGATTGAAATTTTTATTGTGGAATGTTTCAAGATAATGTGGAATTTAATATTACTAAATTTAATATTATTAATATTAATGAGAATAAATGCTGAAATCACTTGAATAATTTGTTGGTAACCAGATGATACTTTAGAGAAAAATTAGTTAAAGTTTGACCGTCATTAGATTTTGCATAAAAATACTTATTGTAAAAGTGTTATTTTTTTCATTTTAAAATTGGAGCCCCATAATTTTTTTCTAAAGAGAAGTTTTAGATTACCAAAATCATTTATTACACTCTTGCAGAATTCTGGTAATTTTCAGACTTCAAATATATAAAAAAGTGGTTTTTCCATGTATTTATATAGACTATCTATGGATATTAAAAACAATTTTATTGGGGATAACTTATTTAAGTGGTTAAGCTAAGTAATATTTACATGAACAGAATTTGAAAACTGCTTTTAATATTTTATATTACTGTATAGAATCATTGGAATAATTTTGTAAAATATACCAAGAAAATAAGGTGGAGTATTGTTAAATCTGTCCAGCAAATAATACAAAACTTGCTTCATAATTTTCTATGATATTTAAAATTATAAAATTGCATTTTAAAATGTCTTTAAATAAATATTTTTAAAAATTGGAATATCTTGTCTGTGAAGGGCAAACCAGAATGATACAGTTAAAATACAATTAAGCTAGGAAACAGTTATTTTTATAATCATCTCACTTGATACTATAAGCTGTTCATTTACCAATTTTATTATGTTTTTTGTAAACAATCAATGTTTTCATAATATTAAGTTGTGTATAACAATTCAAATTAAAGTCATTTTTTAATTGTTTGGTATTTGTGTTGCTTTCTGCTTTTCACTTTTGTAAACAAAAATGCAATTAACATTTTCATCCAGAATATTTTTGTTGAAGTATTGTTATGATATAGCTATAGGATAATTTTGAATCTTCTTTGAAGATAGTTTCTGCGAAGTGTGATTACTGAAAGACTTTTAAAATCTTGAAAAATAACGAAATTTTTCAAATAATTTATTTTATTATGATTTTGGCTTTAAGTATCATGAACGAGTTGAACAAAATATAATTGTTTATTATCAGGAGACAGAAGAATTTCTTGAAACTCTTTAAAAAGATAGAGTATAGCAAAAGACTTAACAGGAAATGGGAAGCCATTTGGCACACCTCTCTGGCTCTCTTATCTACTTTTTTCTGTGTGTAACTTTTCTCAGCCTCCATAGAACAGCCTAGGGTGATTCTCCAACCATGGCCACTCCACAATTCTCCCAATCACATGTTAAACTTTGCAGCAGGCTGAGATAAGAGACTGCCTTGTAGCTTCTCACTGTAGATTTATGAAAGGAATATTCTTATTGACCATGGGTGTGGATGAGTCTAGAAGCAGAATCATTGTTCCTGATCTCCCACATTTCCGAAAAGGCTGGTTTGCCCTGGATGAGACTAGGCATTTGTAAATGATGTGGGCTAAATCACTTTCTTATAGGACACTTTTAAAATGTAATGAATGCTGTTATATCATTTACATGGATATACCATATACAGTAGTATAGAATTGAGACTTTTCTTACATTCTCAATGTCAGAAATAAAGTCCAAATATTTGTTTTACTAATCTAATAAAACTATAGCATTTTTTGCTTTACTTTGACTTGACTGCTAATATTCCATCTTTTCATATTTATATTAGTTATTTGTATTTATCATTTTGTTCATTAGCTGATTTAAGATTTTGTTCTTTTACTTAATCCAGTTGGGCTTTATTCTCCATTTGTTCTTGAAATGCAGTAAGTGTTAATTTTCATTGTTTTCATCATTTTTGTCTCTAATTACTTATCTTTTAAAGTTATTCTGTACCTCAACATAAAAATATATTATGTAAGAGCTAAAGAGTTGATCTTTTGGGGGCCGGGGATTTAGCTCAGTGGTTCTACCACCTGCCTCACAAGCAGAAGGACCCGAATTTGATCCCCGGTACCAAAAAAAAAAGAGTTGATCTTTTCTCTGTGTATTTCTGAATAATTTAAAATTTTAAGTGTCCCTTATAGTGATTCTTTTATTTTTACCTTTATATTTGGGAGCCTTAAAAATTATTCTTGACATTTTAAGCTAATTATTCATTATGTTTCTAGGGCTCATTTATAATTGCTTAGACAATAATGGAAATTGTTGTTCAAATGAAAAACTATTGGGTAAATAAGAAAAGTCTGCTTCAAATTAAGGTAACACAAGTAAACACATAGATGGCAAATGTTGATCTTTCAGATTTATTAGCTTGTTCCTCCTTTTAGTTAAAAAAGGATTATTTTTTTAAAAGATAAATTTAAAGAATAATCACATTTTGAAAACACAATAAGCAGGCCCAGAAAACATTATTTTAAGAAATATTATCTAAATCTATATCACTAGATAATACTGTTAAAAGCTATTTTTCATATTTATGTTTTCTAATTTTTCTATATTTTATATGACTTCAGAGCAATATAATATCCTCAGCATCTAGATTAATTCTTGAATCAAAGTATCTGGGCTTAAACTTAACTTCATAGCTATGTAATGATGGGCAAGTAATTTCACCTTGTTTCAGGTTATTTTATCTGTCAAATGTAGATAATAACTAATATGCTATTCACTTAAAGCAATGCCCATTTGATAATTACTGCTTAATACATGTTTGCAATTACTAAAATGCAACATATTAGAATAATTCTTTATGCTTACTTAGTCCATGTGTTTTATATGTATTGTGTCACTTACTCTTCCTATTAACTGAGTGAGGCCATTTTACAGATTGAGAAACTGAGGCAGATAGAGATCAAACTCTTAAGAAATGTCATTAAGCAAGTGAGGGAACTGGTACAGGAAGCCAAACCATTTAAAGCTTCAGCAAGTACATAATAAAGCCTTCTATTGCATGTACAAAAACTGTATCGATATTACTATTTATCTAAATATATGTCTCTATCTCTGTATGTAGACTTTCTGTTTTACACATAGATTTAGAGAGAAAATGTAAAAAGAAAGCAGATTCTGTAAAACATATCATGTTTTCATATATTTCTGGCACCTGAATATCTACATAATCCTATATTAGTACTCAGATACATTACATGAATTGGTGTGAATATTATTTCTTGGAATGCAATGGACAAGCATTGCTGAACAATATAATCTTGTTCAATAATGTATTTAACTCATGTTAATGATTCACTATCCCACCAACTTGCAATTCAAATCAGTTTTAGCTAATTACAAGTTGTGGCTATTTTATCTCTCTCTCTCTTTTTTTGGGGGGGGTACCAGGGATCGAACTCGGGTCTTTGCGCTTGCGTAGCAAGCGGCGAAACCACTGAGCTAAATCCCCAGCCCTGTTGTGGCTATTTTAGATATGAGAAACTAATGAGGAAGAAGGAATTAAGTTGGAGAACTCCCATTTGGATAAGGAAGTGACTATGAATCTAAATTAATTTATTCAGTTAGCTTAAATGGCAATAAAACATAGTATTCCCATATCTCATAACTTTAGAAAAGATGATGAATTTTACTCAAAGCAGTTTTTTAAGGAAAGATTATACAGCCATATGGTTTAATAAGGGATTTTGTCACATTGAACCACCTATTATTTAAAACACATATCAGTCATGTATGCCATGTTTGGCTGTTTATTGATTATGAAAGTAGCAATGAGTATATATATTATGCAATTAATTCTTGCTTAAATCTTTTCATATCCAGAAATTAAGGGTCTATTATTGCCTAGGTGGAGATAATGTCAAAGGCTTGCAACCTTGCTGGAGATGAATGTTCTCATAATCCTGTCTAAAGGGTAAGCTCGTAACTTACAGAAAATAACTGTCAGGTGAGAGACATTGACTTCAGAATGATGCTCACCCATAAGGGCTGTATTCCTGTGATACTACAGCTCATGGGTAGATTTATCATTTGCCTCACTCACTTAAATAGATGTAGTCTTGTCCAAAGACTATACTGCTGTCCCTGAGTTAATTTAATTGGAAATACTCTGCTTTGAGTTTCATTATGTAGCATTAGTAGATGATGCATAGAGGTACATTCTGGGGTATATAAATCTTTCAAGAGATAT